CAAGGAAACAAAATGAAAGCAGTAAAAATAATAGTTCTCATTTCCAATCACTTAATGGAAACCAAGAAGTTCCTCCAAAGAGAAACAAACCCATCTCAAATATTTTCATTTTAGAAAAATATTCCTCTGGTAAAAGCATCTATATTGAACACATGATTTGTTGATAGTAAATTACAGTATTTTAATATGCTTCTTGTATGAAGATAGTAAAATTTTCTTTTGGTATTTCATGCCTGGAAGTGCATATCACCTGGAAAACATTTTAAAACTAATTCCTTTTTATGTGTTCATATAAGTATCTATCTGTATAATATGTGTACCAAAGCTGTAATCACACAGACATTTACAGTGTGAAGGTATCAAACGTTAATAGTAAGCGTGCTATACTCCGAACAGAGACAAAAAGTAAGCAGATTAAAAAATAAAGTTGAATTAATCTTGGACCTGTACTACAAAAAAATAAATAATAATAAAGATAATGAGATGCATAATTATTTGGAAAACCATTATAAAAATATTTAGTATCATGATATATTTATAAAAATAAAACTGAAAACATCAAGGAGTTCAATATTTGCAGAAAATAATGGCTAAATTTCAAAGTCTCACAACATTATTCTTTCTACAGTACCTCAATAATGAAAGCTCTGTCTGTGTTTTGTCTTGCAAAGGTTTCTACAAGCCCCTTATCACTCATGCTTAAAACTCCCAAATGTTCTTCTACAGACAAATACATCTGAAGTTGGCAAACTCTCCTCAGGATTAAGGGACAGAGCATGGAGGAAGCTATGACCTCCCTTCAATTTTTTTCTTCATCATGTAGATAGACAAAGGTGCAAGCACATTGGTTACAGTAATCTTCTTTAGGCATTGTCCACAGGGTAGCAAACACACAGTATGTAGTGTCATTTAATACACACTCTTACAAACAATACCAAAACTATCCAACACCAACAATGTTGTGATGTCTCAGCAACATCCTTCTGAGCCCAAGGCACCCTTACTCTATCAGAAATATCCTGAAATATTTTCAGTCAGGCTCAAAGCAAACAATCTCTTATCCACAGGCACGAAGATTCTGCCCTGAATTCAGTCCTATACTATCACACAATTTCTAAGACATTAAATCCACAAATTAAAAAAAGCTGAAAGGAGGACAGAGGGGAATTGCTGTCTGCTCACTTGCTGGGCAGACAAGTGGGAGGACAGGATGGTAGGCCACATAGCACTCTCGCCAACAAGGCCTTGTCTCACCACCCTTTAGCAATTATACCTCTCACAGCCTACACTGCAGTAGGATAAGTGAGCCAGGTTCTGCTAAATACCTGTAAAGTTGTTTCAATATTTTCCTGAGGACTAGGACATCTTCTCTGGGATAGTTTCAGATTTTGATGGTGTTTTCTGCAAATGAAGAGGAGAGTCTACGTGAGCTCATAGTCCTTCAATTGACATCAGGCAACCTCTCAGTGGCTCAGAAATGATCCCGTAAATTACACAAACAGGATGATCTCCCACATCATTGTTGCTAAATACTTTATTCTCCGCTTAGAGCAAAATTTCTTGACTTTGTTAAGACAGCCTTCAGCTTGCCAATAAAATTTCATACAATTAAATTAAATTAAAATTTCATACAATTTCTGTTTGAGATATAAACAATATTGCACAGGCTGTTGCTGCCTAGCTACAAGTTATCCAGCTTAAAAAAATAATAATAATAAAAAAATACTATGTTTAAAAACGTTTTTAAACATTAAAACCAGCTTTTGCAAATCACTCACAGAAGGCACATTAAAACCTACCTTTGGTGACGGGAGACACCTCTGGCAATTAACTGGAGCTCATCCAGTAGCAGCATGCACAAAACTACCACCAGGAGTCAGGCAGCACCTCAAAGCCAGGAGTAAATACATGGATGCTCTGCAATGGTGCCCAGCAGTGCAGGCAGATAAGAAGCAGTATGGCCTTGGGGTAGGGGGAGGTGGATACATGGAAATTAAAGCACACGTATTATATCTCTCCAGAGTCCTATACATCTAACTCTTATTCTGTACCTTCCACAATGAAGAAACTTAGCAATAATGTAAGAGCAGAAAATCTAGTAATAAGTGGCTTTTTCTATCCTCTTCCCAGAGGGGAGTATATTGCAAGCAAAGGTGGACATCTCAGTGATGAAGATGAATCATCTCTGAAGTAGTATGCAGCCACTCCTTAATTAGCACAGGGATAAACTGCCTTACTTAGTGCCATATATTCAGGGAAGGCATTAAGTCATAGATCTGATTTGAAAGGATTGTTGATTAAAAAAATCCACTTTCTTTTAAATGGATTAATGAAATTATTTTTCATTTATCTCAACTACACAGAACTTTATTTTATATAACATGTGGTTGACCTATAGACACCAAAGTGTGGTGTTTTATCTTTTCTTTTTCTAACTGGGAGAAGATTTACACTATATGTCAGGATTTCTGGTGGAAATATGGTCTCTTTCAAAGTATGCTGATAATAGGAATACCAGATTAATGAGCATCCCAGTTGAATTCATGGAAACAATGCATGAAAGTGAAAATGTACAGCACTGAACAGAAGTAAAGAAAAGGAAATATACTCTGCTATTTAGCACTGTACTTTGAGTGAGCAATAGATCTCCAAGAAAATTTCTCAAGATGTTTTTTAAATTAAAAGCAATCTTGGTAATCTGTGCTCTGCTCCCTAAAATCATGTTTTCCTTAAATGTAAGGCTGAGATTACAGAAAGACTGAAATACTAGCACTTCTATTATCCTCCCAAAATTACAAGAAAAAAAAAAAAAAAAAAAAAAAGTAGCTTGTATGTATGCATCTCAGACAACTTATTTTTCAAGGACTTAGCTCCTGTAATTTAGTGCATTTCTGTCTCCCACATAAAAACAGGAAGCCAAACCCAATTCAAAGGCAGAATAAAATGGGATAAGAATGGCTTTGCCAAGATTGGCTGAGGAAGACTGGAATAGCCTTTGCTGGTCAGTCCTTTAGTGCTTGCAGTCTTATAAATTGCCCTTTACATCCCAAGAAAATACAGTGCATTTGGTTGGGCTGCAGTCTCTTCTCACCCTCTCTTTCACTCACATATCCACTCTTTTCTTCATAAAGAAGAGAAGATTTTATCACCCTGCTTACAAATAGATGCAGAGAAAGGTTTAGGAAATGGCATCCAAGCTAGACAGGATCTCTGAGAAACTCATACAAAAAAAAAGTGATTGATGATGTCAAACAAAAACAGTACAAGTATGATAAATTTGAGACAATAACTACAAACAAAAATTAGGGAATACAAAGCCAAAAAAAAATCTACCATCAATATGAAATTGTAACATTATTAGCACAGGAAGCTGCAGAGAAAAAAAAAAAAAAAAAAAAAAAGTCATGCAATATACATGAACATCAGAAATACAGACTTACAATTATTGTTAAAAATGTTTGGCTTTTATCAACATCACACATGATATGGTTCATGACCCTATTCCTATTTAGTAGTACGCACTTCTTTGTGGACTACCACCAAATACCCCAGCAGCTGCAGGTGATAGATTTAAGGTTTGATTTTGTATGGCAGCTTTTGTATTCCCTCTAGTTTCTCTCTTTCTCACAGTATGAATCCATCACATTCATATGTGCCAGAGCAGGAATAACAGCATTTCCAGTTAAAAATGTTACTTAGATTTTAAATTCTGCTTTGTTGATTACTACTACATCAGGAGTTATTTATTTATCACAAGATTTTAATAAAACTCTTTCCATCCACATTTGTTAACCAAACTTTTGAGTTTACTCCAAACTTGAAGTATGAAATCTATTGAAAATGTTTTTGAATTGATAAAATACTATCGCAGTTTTAGTACTTATGTCCATATTCTTATCTCTAGACTAGGGTCCTTGACCAAGCAATCTCTCTCATGATACCTTACAATCCTTTTCATTGTTGAACCACCTGGTGCTTCACAGGAGTTAGCTGGGCCCTGGCCTGCAGGGGAAGGTGAGTGCAAGAAACATCCAATGCAACTTTCACTAGTCATCATTTCCATGCATTTACTGTAAAGCTTTTCATTTGGGATACTTTTGTGCTACTTTTCATAGATAACTGAATTTCCAAGTCAAACATTAAATGCACAGATTTACATTAAAAAAAGAAAAAGAAAAAAAAAAAAGAGAGAGAGCTTTCATGTATAATTTTCAACCTGTCATACTCGCTATTATTCTTTTACTATTTCCATGTGAGCAGAGGAGATTATATTATATCTGGGTTAATGATATACGCTCTGAAATATATAACTGCATCTTGAGCATCTGCAAGATAGTCCTGACAGGCCTGGCAAATAACCTGGGAGCTGTACCAAACTTTGTTTCCCAGTTTAGTAACTGGCAAATAAAAGCATCTGATGCAACAGGGCAATAGAGAAAAACGTATGTACCAACAGGGGCTGAGCTGGTTTTATTCTTCATGTAACCAGAATATTGCATGGCTTAGTTTTCTGTCAATGAGCCAGAAGTTTGTAGGTAGCAGAGCTAAGTCGATTCTGAGGTTACTGGAAGGGAATTTCACTCACACCGCAATGTGTCCTTTCAGCACAATGCTGGCTCCTTCTAGCATCTACTTTCTTCCTCACCCCACCTCTTCCACACTTTTCATTATTCTTGCTACATTCAATCAGGTAGCAACAGGTGTTGTTTTTTCTCAGTCCAACAACAGTAAGTGTTAAGTAGACGACAGTTCCAAAATGCAACGTGTATATCATATTTTGTGACTAACACCATCTCCCAGTCAGGTCATTTTGATCTTCCCATTATAGCTAGGAACTTTTTCAGGAAATGATCTTTTTACATGTTCTCATAAACTCTCAGAATGTCTGGTTTTGTTTCGCTCTCTCTGCTAAAGAACACGAATTGTTTCTCTTTGGTTTTCCAGTGTATGTTTATTGAGCTGATAAAGACTGCAAGATGTATTGAAAGAAACACTTGGTTTATTTTATTTTATTTTGGCAATGATAACAGAGTGGAATCCATTTTAAAACCAGGAGAAAAATAATTGCATGTCCCAGTTATATTGTATTATATATATATATCTATATCTATGTACATACACACACATACACAAATGCATGCATACACAGATTTTTATTTTTTTTATTTATTTTTATGGGTACCTTCCTGACTTGCAGCCAATCCATGGAAATGCTAGCCAGCTTGTGCATTTAATTGTACCAGCATATAATAGTAGACAGATTTTCTTCCCTTCATGTTGCAGCATGCGTGGAAACTTTCAAAGGAATCAGGAGAGTACAAGGTAAGGGAAACAACAACAACCAAAAAAAAACAACAACAACAAAAAAAAAAACACACAAACAAAACATTTGCTTGCATAATAGAGATTAATTAAAATGGATATACATCTAGGTGATATACTTAAACATAGCATCATGCACTCTGTATAATTCATAGAATGCATCCTTACACTAATAATCACCTTAGGGGATAGTTAGTGGTAAGCAAAGCCTTAAGTGCAATGGTTACATTAATATCTGCCTAAGCTAGCTAATGCTCTGGTTTAGATATACTCACACAGGAGCTGCAGCTGAAACAGAAAATCTGCTGAATTTTCAGTCCTCTTTGTGTCTCTGTCTCCCCACATCACACACACAAAAACACATGCCCCTTGGTAAGCTTCAACAAGGAAATAAAGAAAATAGCTTTAAGAAACTTTAAGAAAACAGATATTACTGTATCATAATTCTGGCCAACATGCAGCAAGGTATGCAAAAAAGAAAAAAACAAAACAAAACAAAAAAAAAAAAAACACTTTGTGCCTTTTATGTTTTTAAGTTTCAAACTCATGTTAAAGAATGAAAAAGACTGCAAGTTCTTTATCCAGTACATTGAGTTGAAGGTAAGGTCATTGCTTGCCAGCAGGCTATGACTGACTTTAATTAAACATTTTTATACTACTCTGCTGCTGCTGGGGAACATGTCATTAAAACACAGGAAACATTAATCTGCAGACTAATGCTATAAAAAGAAAACTTTTACACAATCTTTAGTTCCAATTAAAAGAAGCTTAAAAAACATTAACCCTTAGAATACTACAAAACCACCACCCAATAAGAGCTCCAGGTGGATGTTTGTCATGCTCTGCTACCTATTTCTTCATCTAGTCACATCAGCTTTGCCTTAGCATAAGTGAACTTACCTTAGTTACATTTGCTAAAAGCAGATATAGTGCTCTGTTGTGTTTTTTTTTTTTTTTTTGCCTACATAATCACATATCTTAAATGAGAGAATTGGTGCCGTGTATTTACTATGTGTTGTCTATTTGGAACAGATTTCAAATACTTGTCAGAAAACTGGTGGGTGATCTTTACATAAATCCCCATGTCTTAGGCTAGTCAAAAACATAGCGCATACTATTATTTATTCATTATTTATTTTTATCAACTGCTGTGGTCCATCTTGAAGCAATTGCTTTCCACTGTAAAGGCATCTCTATGTTAGCTCCATCTGCTTCTAAAAGAAAATGTTTTGGACTCTTTTGGAGGCTGAGGGGTTGGAGACAAAAAAGGATTTATGGATGGGCACAGATTTCTATGCCCTTGTCTTTTCAGCAGAAGTATGCAATTTGTTTTCAGTTGTGAGGTGCTAGTCTGTCTGTTGAACCTCTAGCTCCCTCCCTGAATCTCCTCACTTATTTTTTTTTTTTTTTTTTTTTTGTAAGGACACCTGTTTAAGGTTCAAAGCCTTTAAAAAAGGGTTCGTATCCACCAAGATTAGAAATATTTGGTCAATAAGGTGTGACTAGAAGTGTACATTTTGTCTTAGACCTTATAAATCTGTACACATACAGAGAACAATTCAGACAAATCAGTATTTTAGTTAGCATGCTACTAAGTTAGATGAGTCCACAAAATTTTAAGGCCATTGCTTGCTATGGATATATGTATATAAATAAGAACAGATGAAGAAATTTGCACACAAACAGCAATATTTATATGTAACACTATCTCAGTCTGCACATTTGTAATTTTAGCACACAGTTTCAACAGTAGCATATTATCACTCTTTTTTACTTCTTTTTTTCCAAATAAAAGAATCTGTCATCCAGGCCTTGATGTTACACAAGCATTTAGTTAAACCAGTTAAACAGGATCAGATTGTTGCTGGAACCATGTGGGAAATATTTACAATAAAACTCACCTGGCGTTGAGCATTGTTCCAATCTTGAAATTCAGCCCAGTCTTGAAAGTTCACAAAGTTTCATTAACTTATTTGAGCAAAATGCAGGCTCATTTTCAAGTAATTTTTGGCTGATATTTATTCTAGATAAAGGGAACAGTATGACAGTGATATGATTAAAATATCTTGAGTGCAAAACCTGTTCAGTTGTGTGGAGTGGAAGGGAAACACTGTTTTGGTTACCCATTCAACACTCATAAAAATCAGTCACTCGCTTTCAGAGGGAGGCTTACTTCATATGCTCACAAATACACACCATTCAGCTGAAGGATTTACATAGTCAGCTAAGAAGAAAACTCGTATCAAGGTCAAGTGAAAGTATTGCTGGTTGTTTAGGAAGTTAAAATGTCTCCTAAACTGGAATGAACAAAGTATGTTCTACCTTAACAAGTGACAAGAAGGGAAAACAGCATACACTAAATCCTGTTCAGATTTAAAAATATATTCCACATCGTTATCATAACTTAATGGATTTATAGATTAATTGTCCATTAACCCAATGACCCAGCTTTTACTGCAGTTCAGATCCAAACAAAAATCTTTCCAATCATATGGGAATGGAAAACCCTTAATGAAGTTTAAAGACACACTTTAAACCTTGTTTGTCCTACCATGCCAGATTGTGCATTGCTAATCCACAGTGAGTTACAGCTAGTTTGTCAAGATTAAATGAGGGAAGAATGAGAAAGTATTATTACCTCCTCTGAGGCTTCAATCAGTTTTCAGTCTGCTGAGATGACCCTGGCCACCTTCAAGGTTCCCTGGAGACAAGAAGGAAAGGAAATGAATAAATAGCAATTCATAAAGATGGCTGGGGCTCTAAGCAGCATCCATTGCTCTCTTTTTTCACCCCTAAATATATTGTCAAAAAGAATGCCTCATCCATATGAAAATATAATAAAATGCATATGCTTCTTTTATATATGGGAAAGGTATGTAATTAGTTTTAGTTTAAGTAAAACAATGAAGACTGTATGAATGTACATTCAAAATAAAAGAGAAAACAGAACATTTTGCCTTTGTTTAAGTCTCTAAAAAATTCAAGTGAAACCAGAAGATGGACTGATTTCATTTAAACTAAAAGTGAGAGAAAGTTAAAAATGACTCATTTTCTAGGGAGTGTCACTACACATTCAGAGAAACCCACCTTTTCCTTGGCCACTTGGGACAGTGCATCACTCCAGACAGATCACATCGCAGCAACATAAGTTTTCATCCCAGTCTTCTCTGGTTACCTTTGCCTTGGAATCAAAGGACATATCCTTAATGTTTAACAAATCACTGTCTTTACCTTTACTGCTTAAGAAAAGAATACCAGAACTCTCATTTGAGTATTGAACTTTTTGAATGTCCACATCATTTTTAGTTCATTGCCTGACTCTGCTTTGGATTCTCCCAGCCTGATCTCTTCAAGAATAATGTGGAATAGAGGAGTTTTATCCTAAAGCTGCATGAATGTGAGGAGCCACTGCTCTGTGACTAGAAGGTCTTCCCACCTGTTTTGGCTTAATCCTACAAATACAACTGATTGTATTAGTGTAAGGTATGGTAATGTCTTCAGGAGGCAAGAAAGGTTTTTAGGAAATGGACACCTTCTGCAATGTTTGGGGATGTTAGAAAACCTAATGCAAGCTTATTTTGTACATCTTCACATGGGACTGATTCCCATCATATCATATATTGCCTCTCTTTTTAATAGATATGTCATGACAGATCAAGAAAAATTCACATAATTCCAGGTACTTTGATTGTGGATACTGTTCATAAACTGAAATAATAATTTACCTTCTAGTTAAAATATACATCTGTTCTGTCAACAAACTAGAATTCACCAGTTCCATGTTTGTCCTAGTTAGCCATATGCAATTTTTCTATTTAAAATGAGCATTTTTATTTCAGTTCAACTACCTTTACCGATAGTATAGATAGAGCAATTATGGCACATTTTAATTACAATTAAGGTGCAATTGATTAACACGTAACTTGGAATCCTGTTATGTCACACTGCATATATAGTTACAACATATCTAAACAGAAGTCCCAGCACTCACATGGGATCAGAAAGAAAAAGAATGAGTAATAATTAAAAACAAAACAAACAAACAAACAAACAAACAAACAAAAAACCTACCCTGAATCATTCAAATTAAAGCAAACAAACAAGAAAGCAATGTTCTCTCCTTCCCTGCTTTCCTGATTGATGATGATAATAAATAACTAAACAAATAAAATGTTTTGGACAAGCACCTCAGAGGTGGAAAGCACAGTCTATGAAAGCAGTTATGTTATGCTGGAAGCTACTCAAAAATTATACGTATATATATTGGGGAATGGAGGAAGTAATGAGGAAGGGTAAAGGTTATTTTATAGAAGTGGTAAAATAAAATCTAAAAATACTCTTTTTACTTTTAAAAGATAAAATTAAAACAAGCTTAAACATACAAATTTTTTCATATTTGAATAAAGTTGTTCTTTGAAATATAATTACATTTTAAATTACATTTTAAATCATGATTTGAAATATAATTACTGTGCAGAGTAAACAGCATTGGGTACACTAATTTGTAACTATAATTTAAAGCATTGCTCACAGAGCTCACAGAGTGAAGGAGGAATGTAAACTCAGAATCTATGTTCAGCAACATTTGCGTAAGTGAAAAAAACAACATAGAGTTGCTACTGTTGTTGGATATTAAATCTGAGCAGCTGGGTCTGAATTATTTATGTGCTGAGTTATTAAATGTAAATCAAATAAACACATGGGAACACCAGTCATTCCATTTGCTTTCTTTAAAGCCCTCTCAGATTAGTTTTTTATATATATCAACAATTTGACCGAGTAGATTGCAGGACTAGTTCAAGTGTCATGCTAATATTTTGGCATGTCCAATAAGCAAGGATAGAGGGGAACTTTTTTTATTATTTTTTTTTGCCACTCTCACCAAGTGCAAAGCGTTTATGAAGTGTTTATTCATATAATTTTGACAAGTTGTGTTAATTAATACTGAAGGACACTTCTGATGTGAAGTTCCTAAAATTACAGTAGCCTCACCTTTTTGAGCATTTACAGGACGTTTCTGAGATGATATAAAATATACTAATATACATGTAACTTTAAATAGATTTTCAGAATAGCAATCATGAAGTTTTACTGTATTTTCTGCTTCCAAGTTTCATAGTGATTAACTTTCAAAATCTAGCCAACTGATTTTAGTGTAATTCAAATTAAACAAATCTAAAACATATCTTCAATTAAAAATACTTACAGACATTGCTTTTTTGTTTTTTGTTTTTTTTTTTTTTTCCCCGGTATGATTTCTTAGTACAAAATAGTGTAAAGCATGTATAAATTCCATTCATTTTTTAAAGATATCTTTAGGGCTATGTTCTCTGTTTTGCAAAATTTCCCATACACAAAAAAGAACTCCATCATATTGCACTTTATTTTACTCCCAGCTATGCTTCTCAGGACTCATGAAAGCTTCAGTGCTCTCATCCAACTTGTGAGAGAAAAGATGTTAGAGGACTACGCCTTTTTGGACTGGACTTCTCTCAGGTTCATCTATGATGAAATAAATAGTCTAGTCTTGTGTGGTTCCTCAAGGAGAATTACAAAGAAATTGTCCATATGTAGGACCTAAGCCAGTGAAACAATTTCCCTTTCATATTCTTTCATAACAGACTGCCAGTATGGAAACTTCATCATACTGGCTGAAGTTTTACAGGAAGAAAACCTTAGTTTCATGTATGAATATACTCCCTGATTAACCAAATAACCAGTTTCCATATGTACATATATTAATAGTTTAAACAACTAGATATTTGTGATGTCCTGTGAAACTAGCATGGCTTCTGAATTGGAGCCATATCTGTGCAACTGGAGAATCTTTGAAAAAGTCTACACATTCTTTGTGAAGACATATCTATACTGCTTTGCATTGTCACCCGTTATCTTCCAAGGACTTTGAGAACATGTGGAATTAAAATAAATTGCTTGGAAAATATATTTGTAGTCCTAACACCATCTCTTTTTCAATATGCAGCTAACTTGCATATTCTGAAACATTCTATGAAGTCACACAGAATTACTAGTCATGACTAACATTGCCAAGTATTTATTTATGAACAAAATCAGGAGTTTCACATAAAAGAATATTTGCAGCAACGGTATTGTCTTTCCATGTAAAAGGTTGGCTTTTCATGAAGAAATAAAATATATATCCGAATATTTTCTTTCCAGAGATCTGTTTTTAGTGTCTCATGTAAATTAAGGTTGTTGGTTTGTTGGTTGTTGGCTTCCTATCTAGACTACAAAATGTAAGTTAATGTGAAATTTCATGAGGTAAAGCCATTCTGTAAAGGCCAAAATATGGCAGATTAAAATGGCAGTACATGTATGCCAGTACATGCAGCACAAGCAATTCTGTTGAGGAATCATCACATAAAAATTGCTGCCAAACTAAAGATTTCAGCCAAAAATGTTGAATGTTTGAATTGCTCCTAAATCACAACCACAAAGAGGAAACCTTTATTTTTATTGTCATGGGAAAAACAAACAAACAAACAAGCAAGCAACAACAACAAACATTTTAAAATACCTTTCCTTTTTCTACTGAACAGAATAGCACTGCCATAAAGTAAAATATTCATGTTGAGCTTCCTGTGCTGAACAGCAGTGAATGGCAAAGAGAAAGCAATAGAAAATAAAATTATTCTTTTTTATTCTTATTTTACTAGATCTGAGCAATAGTCTATAGATATAATGTTAAGGCAAATCTGCCAACTAAACTGATAAAAAATGCAGTTCAAGATGACCTCTGAGTTTAATATCCTATCCATTCCATGTTCCCTGAAACATTTTCAAGTTCATAAGAAGAAATTGTAGAACTGTCAAAAACTTCAAATATTATGATAGAGAACAACAAAAATCATTTACTGATGTTGTAAGTCGTTTCAAATGACAATATTTTATTTTTAAAAATATGACCTCAACCAAATAAAACAGTAACTTTCGCCAAAATAAAAATTGCCCTTGGGCATCACAAATTATTAATAGAAACTTCCATAAGTCTTTGCAAATTTTAAAGAAATATGCAAGTATTTGCACAAAGCCTTTGCCTCTGTAGCACAAAATTTGTGCTTTGCATCTTCCTCTAATTAGAAAATGTTAAGCTATGCTCTGAGCAACTTATTTTCAGCTCAGCAAAGTAAAAACACTGCTACAATGAAAAGTTTCATCTTTCAAAAGCAAATGTCTGCCTGGCATAAGACTTACTTTCACAGCAATCGTAAGTTTATGATAGCAATGCATTATGCTACAAGGAAAAGTGAAGAAGGTTAGCAGTATGTACTAGATGCAAAACTAAGAGCATTGCTCATTTTTCACTTGAACAACCAGAAAGAAAAACAAACAAACAAACAAACAAACAACAACAAAAAAAAACAACATTGCAAGCTGTTTCCATTATAAGGGGAAAATGGTGTGGGAGCTATAATGCTTCCTCTAATGGTTCTTCATTTATTTACAGCAATTGACAAGGTGCTCTCTTCCTGACCACAAGTAAAATAAAATCAAAGGAAACAGTTTATTTGCTCACTTTTCAAAGCGTCTGTTAGCCAAAATGTTTTCCATGGTACATGTTCTCCATGTTAGACTCTGCTGTGTCTCCCTGTCCCCTTACTAATTCCTATATCAGCTTCTTTAGTCTTCTCCTGGTCTCTCCCACAGACATACAAATCGTCACATAACAGTGGCTTGGAAAATTGTTATTGCTTCCAGTTGCCTTGAGTTATCTCAAAAACTTCAATCGATAAACAAGGAAAATGCCTTAATAATAGATTTAGTGTTTATTTTTCCATACTAATAAACATAGTTTGAAAAGCAAGGCTCCTATTTAATCATTAACCTCCAAAGCACATGTATAATTGGTAAATTGGTGTTTGTAAGGGCACATAAAACTATATATAAAATCTAACATGTACTTGACCATTTATCTGCCTACCAGGTTAGGTATATGCAGAAATACCTGGTTTACACATGCAGATTGAGAATCTGTATATATAAACAATATATGCCATTTCATCTTACAGTTTTTCAGCCATTCAAGTAGAACTGTACCAGTGGTAAATTTTACCAAGATGTAAACATGATCACTGCTTGCAATGGATCCAAATACTTCAACACGCCATTCTGAAAAGTATACCAATAAAACCCATGGGACATCCAAGGGGCAAGGTTCTT